ATATATTTAACTGGCATTTGTTATTTTCAAAAGAAAGAGACGGGAAATACAGGCAAATGTTGATATGACTCAAACCCCCATGCTTGTTCAAACAAACCAACAGGAAGTTGGGTAGCACAGCCTAAGTGGTAGGGTAGAAACCACCTGGCTGGGATAGTGGTTCTTCCTCCCAATTTCAGGAACTCACCTGTGGTGGGAGGGATCTGCCTTGCCCCCCGCCACTGTGGTTTCCTAGCATCACTGATCCTCCTACAGACTTCTGCCCTCGGGCACCCTGCAATTGTTCCTATTTCACTAAGGGTCTTCACTACCACTTAGGTTCCTTACCCAGAAACCATTAGAGGACTTTTCTTTTTTCTCCACCTTCCAGATCAATCTAGAAACAATTCTCTATGCTGAAGTGTTTCAAAATATGACCCCTCCCCTTGCCTAGCTTCTCAGTCACTTTAGACTCTATTAATTCTTGCTAGTTGAGTATAATGGCCTTGAAATGGCTGGTTATTTAACTTTTATAGCTATATATAATTCATTAATTATTATCTAAATTGTACATATTTATGGAGTATGATGATCATTCATTACATGAATGCAATATATGATGATTAAGTGAAGGTCTTCCTGTCTCAAATGTATAAAAGTAGTTTTGATTAAATTGCAGTATTGCACATACTTATGAGATTTAGTGTGACATTTCAGTACATGTCCGTGATGGCACTGACCAAATCAGGGTGATCGATGTGCTCCCTCCTTATCATTGCTATGCATGGATTCTTCCTGCTCTTCCTAGTTTTTCATGAACCATCCAATAGGTCATTGTGAATGATGTCCACCCTGCTGTGCTGGAGACCAGAGCCCATCCCATCTCTCTGACAGTGTTTGGTATCAGCCATGCAGTGCATTCTTGGCCATGCATTTGAACACATGTTTGGCTGGTTCCGAATTTCCTTTTTCCTGATTTAAAAGGTGCTTTTAAGCTGAAAAATGTTGTATATTCTACACTCTAGAGTTAGGAATAGAACCATCATAGAAATAGTTATATGCTATTATCTAAGTGACTTAAGATTTGAAAAAAAAATTAACCAACCAACTAACCTACCAATCAATATCTCAAATGCTTCATGAACTAGAAATACGGGTCATTAAGACTTCTCATATGCCTCACAATTCTTATATGTGTCACTTGTCATTTATAAAATGACATAGTGACATATCTTCTGTTTCTATCCTATGTAGTATCTAAATATGAAACAGCATTTCTGTCAATGTATACTCATATACACAGAGCACTAAGGTTAGTTAGGAAGACTAAAGTAAAATGTTATTTACATCACATCACAAAAACTTGAAAAGGACCAGCAGACAGTGCTTTCCTTAGGCACTCTTGCTACACACTCACAAGGTCTTCCTCCTGGGATGGTTCACTGTTCCTTATTCTCAAGCCTCCAGCCAGCTACCTGCCCATTAACTCTTCTTACCTAGTAGTTTTTAGCTACTATCTCTGTGCCTTGGCTTCAATAAGTCTTCAGGACTCCTCTTTCAGTCTCAAATAGCTGGTGGGACAATGGGGAAAGAGACCTTAGACATTGCTGGTGGGAATGTAAATTATTCCAACCAATATGAAATTTTCCTCCAAAAATCTAAAAATAAAACTTTCCTATGATGCAGCTAGATCATTCATGAGACTATACCAAAGTCAACACAACAGAGAGATACTTGCTCATCTTTGTTTTCTGAGACAGCTGAGTTGTGGAATCAAGGTAGATGTCTATCAACAGATAACTGAATAAAGAAAATGTGATGTATATACACAAGGGAATTGTCTTCAGACATACAGAAGAGTGAAATCACATCATTTGTTGGAAAATGTATGCAATTCATGATCATTTTATATTATGTAAAATAAGCCATCCTTACAAAGACAAATATCATAAATTCTCTTCCATTTGTAGATTCTAGGCAGTGCATAGATACATAAAATCATATATATTTGTGGCATGACACAGTCTGGAGGAAGGCGGGGGTGGAGAAGTAGTGAAGACAGGAGAGAGCACTGGGAAATGAACATGGTCAAAGGGCATGCTATACTTGAAAGAATTGTCAATATGAAGTCTATATGTGCAATGGAGATATACTAGTAAAAATTTTAGAAGTGCTTATATCAGTGTCTTTGCAAATGAAGTCAGCATCTTCCTAGGAAGAACTCTCCTGTATCCATTAAGAACAAATTATCATTCTCCCTTAAAGGGCAGTAGGGTTCCCTACACAAGTTAATTTTTTTTATAATGTAAATTGATATTAACTGTACCATTATTTGTTGAGAAAATCTGATGAGCTCACAGTGGGAAATAAAAGAAGAAATCTGCTTTCATTGAATATAGAACCTACATATTTAATAAGTGACGCTCACTGTTAATGAGTAATTATAGAAGTCATTTAAGAAAGGAATCCAAACCTATGAAGTCACATCAAATGTGAGTCTAACCTAGAGTAGGATATGAGAGAATACGTACAAGGAAGGGAGTTAGATGGAGTGGCTCTAGATGAACAAGGTTCCCTATGGAGAGAAACAGAAATATCAACCCAGGTGTGTTGGATTTGCAAGTTTCCATGGTAGAAATGTTCCCAGTATGGCGGAGTTCAAGCTGTCAGTGCTCACTGTCTATATACGGAGTCAAGAAGACAAGTGCAGCCAGCACCATTATGATGCAATTCTATCCTGGAGAAATGACTCAAGAGATACAGATAGTGCTGCAACTTAGTGAAAACAATCATGAATGATGCGTTGTGAACATTTATTCCCTTTGTTTTAAAATATAACATGTCTACAAGTTTATGTATTTATTTTTAATAACAGAACCATTTAATAACCAATTGTGAAATTCCTACATAATGTAATGGTCAGTCTTCATGAGCCCATCAAGCTGTATCCAGCATAGCAATGAAAGCAGAATGGATATGATCAAGCATGCGTGATACACAGAGCATGGACAAAGGCCTGTGGTGAGGAGAGGCTTGGTTTGTGGGTAGAGGAGCAATAGTCTGACTCTACTTAGAAAAGCCCCACTGCGGTGAGGAGGATTGTCCCCATGGTCTCTGAGTAGCTTTTATTTGAAATGCTATTACATAGAAATTGAGTTTGAGTGGGTTGGGTGCCCTGACAGTTCTTCCGACTCTAAAGTTCCACTATCAGTCAAAGGAAGACTTGTTTTAGGAGGCATATGAAGTGGTGAGAAGTGATGAATTAACAACCTAGAACCTAGAAATGGTGTCTTGCACATTTATAAATACATCTGTAAATAGATCAGGCATCTGAGGACCAAAACACTCTTGTCTTCAAATTAAGAGTGTCAGGAAGCAGAGGGAGGCAGGTGTTTTTCCTCTCCTACCCTTTTCATGGGTTCCTATTTTTGCAACATCACTTTCTCCAAGTGTCAGACAATTATGTCTAATATATATATTTTGCCAGTATCATTCTGGGAACGAAAATGGTAATTATTTATGCCACTCCCTTTTGGTGGGAGAGGATGGAGCTGTAAACCCTGCAGCATTGGGAAAAGCCTCCTCCAAGAGATTTCAGAGATCATTATCCAAGATTAGGAAGAACAGCATATACTTTTCAGCTAGGAGAGAAATAACCTACCAGCCACCTCTATTTCAGTTATGACTGTGGTTGTGGCTGTGGCAGCGATAAACTCCCCTGTCCTCCTAGATTTTAGACATAACTTCCTGACACACAACTGCCTGCCTCTCAGGTGCATCAGCTAACATCTGCTCTTATCTTCCCCATGGCAACAGTCCTGCTCCCAAACAGCCCTGCATTCATCCTTGGCCAACAAGCCCTTCAGATGTCACCACCCTGGACATCCCTGATAGCAGCCTACATTCTCTTTTTTGCTCTCCATTCAGATCCTGTCCCCATCATCATGATTTGAGTTGGTCTTAAGGAAAACATCCTTGGAGACAGTCAAATTCCTGTTTCATGCTGTGCTTGATAAAGTAGCGAAGCTCTCTGGACCTCTGTTCCCTCATATGTATTATGAGGATTAGAATATTTGTTTTTTTCCAGGTTAAGGAAGTGAATGCTTCAAAGTGTCTGGTGCAAGCAATTAATGACAGTATCATGCTTTCTATGATTGCTGCTTATATTGGCTGCATGGCTTAACATGAATCTATATACTTGTCAAAGCTCTGTAATTTGCTCAATCTCTCTGCCATCCATAATGTCTACTTTCTCTTGCTGGCCATAGTTGACAGTTGATTCACTCTGTGCATGCTGTGCTATTGAAAGATGTTTCTACCATTTATAGCTGCTGAAATAAAGGCTAGCTATCTGGAGAGGCTCTGCAGAGATGTCCCTCTTCACAGACAATGGGTCTTCCTCCATGCCCACCTTACACATGTGTCTTTCTCCCAAGCTGTTGAGTCTGGAAGTATATTGCCAATGTTTACTCCTTGAAGTGAATTTTCAAAGTTATCAGATGGCTCACTGCCTCTTTAGACAATATACCTTGTTCTCTATTATTCATACATGTTTACAAAGAAAGAAGGCATATTTCCTATGTGCTTGCACTCAGGTGGTTGTAGTCATTATCTCATTTCTTTCCACAAACAGCCACATGAAAAATGTGCTCTTCACTTGGTTCTATAATTAAGTTAAGCAAAAGCCAAAGACTAGGGAACTGGCCTCCAGTTCCAGGATTTGCAAAGCCTGTACTTGGTTTGCCTGACATGAAAACCAAAGAACTTGGTGGCATCTGCTACATTAAATCTATGAGCAAACTTACAGCTTCCCCATTCTGATGGGAGGAGCACCATTACTTCTTAGAATAAGATGGCAACATCAGTATTATTGAATGTTCAAGACAGAAATTTTTGATGTCACCCAACCCAAGCTTTTCTTCCTCTTTGAGAATCCAGTCCCTTTGAATGGGTCCAGCTTATTGACATATTAATAATTTTCCTACATTTTGAGGTTAGAACAAGAAGTTTAATGGACTTACCATTAAAGGCACAGCACTTCAGTAAGTAATCAGCTAAATGGCCACAGCTGCGTTCACCAGGTGTCTTCTATGTTATGGTCCAAATCCTAGCTGATATGAGAAACAACCAGAAAATTTTCTTGTCAGAATGCTTGGCATCTGGATCAGTGCTTTTTGTTCAGGGGATCATCCCTTGGTGGCTCTCTTGTGTGGTTCCAGGACTTTTAAGGACCTTGCCTATTTCATGAGTTTAGAGGCCAAGAAGAAGCCACATCAGTTGGAAGCCCTGGCCTGCCATTCATGGGAACATGAAGATGTCAGCAGAAGCATATGCTCCTGTGGCCCAAGGACAAAGCAGGAGAGCAGAACCCAGATGGGGCCATCAGTCCCACCCACAGCTGTGTTGACATCAAACAGGAAGCATAAGGCTAGCTTCCCTCTTCAGATCTTTCTAGAACAAAGGTATCAACTATACCATTTATTTTCTTTCTTTCTAGGCTCTCTGTGTACAGTCTAGGTGCTGATCTTTTGTTGTACACGTTACAAACAATCTTCTCCCAGGATACGGCTTGCCTTCTCACTGTTCTCATGGAGTCTTTTGATGAAAAGAAGTTCACATCCTATTCTGTATTGATTGGTGAGGGTTGCCTGGAGCGTCAGTTTACAAAAGGATCTGAGAATGAGCTGGCTCGGTAGAAATGAGCACCATGATCTATTGGAGACTTCTGACAACGATGAGAGCCCCCAGGTCCATCAATTCACAGTGCTGGAATAAGGTATCTAACTAGACAATGATTTCAGGCCATATTTCTACTCATGCTCTCAATGGGTAGAAGCCTGGGGATGGGCTAATGACATGATAGATAAAGAGCAGAAATAATACAGACTATTAGGAGATGAAAGACACATGTTATCCTTTAAGGAGAAGGTAGAAGTTTACCTTTCTAGTAAAGATGAATTACTCTCTAGACTGATGAATGAATGACTGTGTCAAGTAGAAAAAAATTATAAGAAATTTCAGTTATACAAAGTCAGTCTAGCCTAGAGTTCCACCTGCAGCCTGTCACCTCCAGACAACAGCCTGGTGTTAGGAACTTAAAGGTCTGAAGCAACGTTCATGTTACATACTCTCATTAAAAACTTCAACAAAAAAGTAAAAGGCACAAAGTAATTTTTAGAGGTGACGGCAATCTGTTACCTTGATAGTATAGTGATGGGATGTCTACAAAGCCATCAACTTGTATATATTAAACAAATTACCTACCAATTATAGGTCAGAAACTCCATTTGAAATACAAGAATACCTCATGGAATGTCAACAGGCAGTGGATGAACATACTGGTAAATCCTTGAGAGCGACAGCAGCTTGATAGGCCTTCTCGTTTCAAGTATGGTGGCTGTGGTGAGGGAGGAGTTTAGAGAGCTAGTGACTGGGTATTTAAAAGATCACGGCAAGGGGGATATGATGGTTGTTTATCAGCCTGACTTTATTTAGAATCACTTAGGAGACGCACTGTGCATATCTGCCAGGGTGTTGACAGGGAGGATTAACTGGAGTAAAAAAAAAAAAAAGAAAAAAAAAAGAAAAAAAAAAAAACCCTTAATGTGGATTTCACTTTCCAACAAGCAGCCCAAACAGAGAAGTCTGAGAAAAAGCAGCCCGCGTGTATCTTACTATTTGTTTCTTTCTGAGAGAGTGTAGCTACTACCACTGCTGCTCTGTCCAGCTGGCATCAGACTTCAGCCTTTTTTTTTTTTTTTAATATGGATTCGCCACGTGCAGTACCCCTTCCTGTTTTCCTTTTCTCACAGCTCGGATATTTGGAATTGAGCCAGGAAGGAGGAATCTAGCACTTCAGAACCTCACAGTAGGCTTACTCTTAGGCTGTCTGTGAGTCAATACAGTTCTGCTTCATCAAGTTCCTGTCCCAGGTCCCCAGATCATGTTTCCGTCTTCAGTAGAAACAGGCATTATCCAAGTAGGCAACCTTGACCAATTGTTAGAACTCTTTGAGGACTCCACTGCTTGCCTGAAACAGAATCGTTCCTAATTCATACAGTAGATAGATATGAAGCTTTACGCAGAGGGATGGTGAAACACACACACTATGCTATACCCCAAACATCTTCTCTAAGTGTTCAACAAATAAAGTGATTGCCATGGTGACGATGGTGATTATGATGTATGCTGACCTCTGGTTCCCTAGGTGTCATACCTTAGTGACTTCACTATCCTAACTTGCTCCAGAGAGATGAGTGTGTGTGTGTGGTTTGTGAGGAAGCAAGGCACTGGTAAATGCAAGAGTGCAGGGCCAAGCAGGAAGAAAAGCTGAAGAAAGAAGCAAAAGCCAATTAAATAAATTCTAATTTTAAGCTTTCCATGGCTCTTTGTGGCTTCAGGAGAAAGGCAATTATATGATTATAATGTGAAGACAGTATGCAAATGAACTCATCTTGCCCAAACTCTCATACTGACATGAATTTGGGAGGAGGATCGTTTGGGTGGGATGTGCAGGAAGCTGGGGGGCAGGGAATGGGAGGTGTAAATGACCATATTTCATTGTATACATGTTTAAGAATCACAAGAACAGAGCAAAATTAGTAGGAGCAATCATTTTCATGTCATAAGAGCATATTTTGAGTATGGTAAATTGAAAATATCTGAATATGACCTTCTCCCTGGCTCTGCTTGTTCTCTCTCCATTTCATACAACGTGTATGTGTGTGTGTGTGTGTGTGTGTGTGTGTAGGTAATTATTGGTCTTGCCAACTAGACAAGAAGCTCCTATAGGCTGTGGACTAACTGGCTGCTTCCCTTTTGTTTTCTGGTAGCAGATGGGCAGGGAGAATCTGTTTGTGAAACAAATAAGAGTTGACTATAATGAAGCTTCTCAGACACGGGGTCTGTAAACAGTTCTCAAAGGGCAAACATGAAAATGTAGTGATTTAGAACCAGAGTAAACAGAAACAAAGCAAGCTTGTGAGTAGAAAGGAGATATCTGTGATGTGTCATCAATCGTATTGGTTGGTGGATAAGAAAGCTTCCAATCACAGCATTAGAGAGAAGACTGAAATGAAGGGAAATACTTGGGACAATGGAGACCACCAGAGAGACAGATGCCACCGGCAAAGCAATCGAGCTACTGTGTTTAATGCAGCGCCTGAGCAGAGGCTCAAATGAAAGGAGAGAATCTGCACTATTAAAATGCGTTTTCCCTTTATGTCTTATCTGCTTCTTTCACAGGCTATTTTTGGTAAGTCGACATTAGCCTTCTAACAAAATGCCAATTAAACCAACTTTCAATAGGCTGTGTTTAGAAGACTCGATCCGAAGATGAAAGTGTATTAGCTCTGCAGTCAGTGTAGATGCGCGATTCTAATCCTAGTTGGATAATGACTGAAATTCTCTGTTGTTGCCACTGGGGGATAGCAACATAAACCGGAAAAGCTGCTCTCCATGTAAGGCATGGAGCTCTCCTGGGCTCACTTCTTTGTCTTGGAGTTTTCTCCTTTTTCTTTTCGCCACCAGTTCTTCCCTCGATGGTAACTTGCTTTCCACATCTTGCCAAATGACAGCAAGCATTCATGTTTGTCATCTAAACTGGCAATACATTCTAGTCGCTGCTGGTATTTTGAATGTTTTGTGTGACATCAGCTTTTGCCTGTTTCTGGGAATCTGAGTCCAGCTTCTGGGCACCTTTTACCTTTGTATTGCAGTTGCTCAGGGTGGAGTGTCAGTTTACACACATGGTTTGTTTTTTTAGAAAACGACCTCGAAGGGGATCAAACAAAGGTTTAAGACCTGGGTCTGCACGCACCTTTCCAGAGTAATCCAATTCTGACTGTCTTCCCATTTTCACGCCCTGCTGCTCTGTTGCCTGTCTTGCTTCTCCTCCTCCTTTGACTGGTCCTCATCCAATTTACTAACTCCTCATCAGGCATCACCATCCTTGTCCCATCTGCCTCTCTGAGCTCTTCTTCTGTTTTACTATCAGTTCCCCTTCATGTGTCTTGACACTACCTGGGAATATATTTTTACATTGTTGACTACATACTACTACTCAACCAGGACAGACTGATGGAGACAGATTGAGTACTTGTCCAGCCCATTACTGCAAAATAAAAAGAGTTTAAAATAATAATATAAAGATAGTCAGGTAGTTACCTCCATACTTAGTTATTGATTAATGCAGATGATAAATGGAGGTGAACTATGGTTAGTAAGAGAGACAGAGAGATAGAGGTCGATGGATTCAGAAAAAGACACTAGAGACAGAGCTAAAAGAATTATGCAGTGATTTAAGGCCAATGTAGACGTCCTATTTTAACCCTTTTCCATTTTTGAGAAGACTTTTTCATTTAATTTCTCAGGCAATTTTCAGAGCATCCATTTTAAATCACAGTTAAGGTTTTCCTCTCTAGTCTCTGACTGAAAAGGTAGAAATCCCAAATTTTGTTGTCGTTGTTCAATTGAATACATATTTAACTTTGAAAGTTACGCACAATTGACTTTGTTTGGGGCTAGTATAAGAAAATAAAATATTCGTGTCGACTATCTTTGGTAAGATGTTTTAAGTGTGGATAGGTGGTAGGAGCTCCATCAACTGTGCCAAACAAGGACATAGATGATTTATGTTGGTGGGTATCACCTTAAGTCTCAGTAGATCTAAAAGGGATTGCTGTTTCTTGGTCCTTGTATCTTTCATGCTAAAAATCATGCCAGTGAGTAGAAGGTGTTGCCATAACACAGCTGCCTGGCATTCTTCTTATGGCTTCTCTGTTGTGTGGTGGGTGTGTTTCATATATCTAACATCTTTGGGGACCAGAGTTGGCTTCCTTGTAGTGAAGCAGTTCTAACTCATGGGGCTGATTACAGTCACTTGTCCAGAATGAAGTTTTGTTTCCTTAGGGAGCAAATTGGAGATTTTCACAGAGCACTAAAATGGAGAAATCAGGCTCTCTTTCTTGGTAGCTGCATTGATAATTAGATATGAAATTCAGAGATGGGCAATGAAGCCTCAAGGTTGGAGAGGGCTGTCTGAGCTCTGCGTGACTAACATCCTGCAGGTTTAGGACCTGAGAATATTGAAGAGTAAGGAATGAGGAATGAATTCACCAAATTTCCTTGAGCGCTTGGGAGTTAAGGATAATATATATATATATATATATATATATGTATATGTATATGTATGTATATGTATGTATGTATATGTAACCAAATATTCAAAATCTTTGTCTTTACATAAAATGTCTGAATTTGATTTTGTACTTATTATTATTATCTATACGTATTATCCAATATCACCAAGACCAGACTGACTTATGCAAGACTTACATTATTTGAGGTTTCTTATCATATCTCAATTGACTTGCTGTCTATTCTCTTTCCTTCCTAGCCTGTAAACAGAGGTGTCCATTCCAGGCACTACACAGACATTAGTACATCTATTGCAGTAAGTTACTAGGAATTTTTCATAAACCCTGATCTAAGCAACTTCTATGTAATTATTAACCATGAGCTGATATATAAAAATGAAGATTAGAATGTTAATCAGACAAAAATCAGATGTTATTCTTGACTGTAACCATGATTAAATGGCTCGACTTCTCCACCCTTTCCTGGTATTGGGTGCTGGAGCTATGAAATGAAGATTCACCTATTTGAGTTCTTACAGAGATACAACAAGCTAATTCAAGAAAAGCATGCCTAGGTGTACCTAACACTCATCAGGTACTGCCAGGCTTTCTGCTAGCATCAAAATAAAAGTTTTTTTACAAAACTCTCCACCTACTGGGGTCTATCATAGAGATGCCCTGATAGTTTGCTGTTTTCTTGACTTCCTGCAATTGGTGTAGTCAAAACTACTTAAAAAAAACTTAAACATCACCCCTTCCATGCTATTCAAGAATAAAATACATTCAACAGAGGACATGCATGCAGGGTGTATCATATTTGATGTGTTGTCCTCCAATCTTTGATTACCACAGGAGCAGAGGTTTAGTTTGTGGGTTTGGCAGCCAACACCATGGCTGACCCAGTTTCTTTAGCTTCTCTAATATCCAGTCCCAAGAGGCTGCTCCTTCCACATATGCACACCTGGGCATCTCTCATCTTCTCCCTTTGACAAGCAGCATTTGGCTGGAGGATTCTGCAAGACAGAAGGCCCCTGCCTTGCCTATATATCAGTCATTACACAGGAAATTGTATGGGAGTCCTTAAGCAGAGAAACATAGGCTATCTCAACCAGTGGTTCCTATGACTTCATAGACCATGTTTAGGTCGTTTCCTGTGCCTCACACTCTCACTTGCTTCACTTCTGACATAAAATCTCCTTTTTGACCTCATTCCAAGCAATAATGCTTTGTTTTAGGGATTTGGGGTCCTCTGTTGCCTCTTCCTACAAGTATGGCATGTCTAGGTTTCTTAGTGATACCGTGAATCCTTCCTGGGGGTATCTGGTGAAATGCTACTTTCTCAGTCCATTTCCTGGAGGCATTCAGTAAATAGCAACAACACCCTCTTTGCCCCTTTCTATCTAGTTAGGCTGTTTCTATTATTCTCACCAGACAGGTCTCCTTATGTTGAAACTGGCTCATTATAAAGGGCTCATGAGAACAAGCTGCTTATCATATTGGATCTTGGCTGTTCAGAAAAGCATGTGAGCTGCCACTCACTACCACCTCACTGAGGATGACTGCAGCCCCACCTGTCTCCAAAGTGTCATTCAGGCTTAGAGCTGCTTATTGTTGGTTTAAGTCAGGCTCAGTTTCTGGCAGCTCCCTCAAACTTACCATTGTTTTGCATTCATAAATAACTATTCCAGCCTAAAGTTCCCCTATATTACTGGAAAAGTGACAGATTCTATCTATGGATACATCTGGGTTCAGGTTAGGCTACAGTTATATTCCAGTATCAATAAAGGACTGATTCTAAGATCTTCCCCCCAAACCAAGTTGTGTGAGTACTCAATCTCTTATGTCAAATGAAATAATAGTTAGTAAACTTACACAATCTTTGCATATACTATAAATTATATATGATACCTATTGTAATGTTGATGCTATGAAAGAGCCACGATACTGTATTGTTTAAAGAATAACTGGAAAAGAACCTGTATTTTATTTTTTCATCCAAGATTTGTTGGATTTAACGTGCCGGAATCCGTGGATACATTCAGCAGACTGTACTGGGTCACACATACAGACCCTGGCAACAGGCAACTCAGTATGAGTTTCTGCTCAGCCTCTCTTGGCTAGGTGACCTTGAACCAGTTGCTTAGCCCACTTCTGTGGAAGAGGACAGCACACGTGCTGACAAGCGCATTTGTTCCATGGAAATGAGTTCCTTCCATCAGAGCACCATTCCTGGCATATGTAAGACTTGGTCAATGGTTGTGCTTCTGTTTGTCACCTAAATCATATCCCTGGCCAGATCAAGAGCTTTGTTCTCCTCATGGCCCACAACATCTGCCAGAGCCTCCCACTCAGCAGGTGCTCAATTACTCTGTTGACTTTTGGTAGAATTATTTCCCACAAGAAATGTCACAGGAGATGCTTTGGAAAAGCACACAGAGGCAGTTCTATTTGTAATGCTGTCTGAGGACTAAGAGGACAGAGGAGGGACTCAAAGGGAAGTTTCTGGAACATTCCTTTGGGAAACATTTTCTCAATATCTAGTATGTGCTAACGACCACGCTCTGAGCTCCAGGGATGTGTCAGAACAGGCACAACTCCTCTTTTGCATGGGATGTGGGGACAGGGACATGCAAACCAGTGCCTGGACCAAGGCAAGGAGGTTCCGAGAGGCAGGTGGTGCCTGTGGCTGTGTCTCTGTCATCTGTGGACGGGAATGTCCTAGACAATTATAGCTTCAGGATTAGTCAGTGGCCCCTATTTCTGTGTCTGCGTGCTGTAGCAGCGATTCTGAAAATGAGAATGGTGTTAAAATTGAAAATGGAATTAGGTCTCTTGGGAACGAGAGCAGAAGTGGTTTGGGGAGAAAATATGCAAACTGTGTAAAAGAAGAAGCAGAGATTCCATCACAATTGTTGAGTTTTTTCAGCTTCCAATATGGTCTGAAAGAGAGTTCTGAAGACTTAACATTTGTTTCCTTATAGTTCCAGCTGACTAATTAATAAGAGAGCTTCAATCCTCAATGACCCCTTCTCACAGGATATGAAGATGGTAGAACCCTGCGGAGTGGCTGGGGGCCTGGCAGAGGAGTGAAGGTTCTTGCTTCCTGGTCCTCAGTCAGGACATCTCGGCTTACGTGTCTGTCCCCACCTATTAGTTTCCCATCTCTTCTGGCAACGTGTTTCAAAAAGAACAGCAAAAATTAAGATACTTTTCCGATTAAAGTAGGCATAAATTACCACCCTCACTAACAATTTTAGGAAATAAAAGGTAAAGTTAGGCATTCTGAAAATTTACTTGCTTCACAAGTAAATTCTGGTTCTCAGTTAATCTTCTTACACCCAGGGCTGTGTTCCTACCGAAAGCTTAAATAGACACAAGACTATTATGTAAAAAAATGGGTTCTACCTCTACATGCTAGCAATGAGCCACCAGAAGACGGAGAAGGCAATTACATTCAGCATAGCAGTAACTGTAACAAACATATTAAGAATACATTTTTTAAGAGTGCAAGGTTGATAACTGAAATGTTGTTGAGAGAAAGTAGGGATGAAGGTGGGGGACAGACCTACGAAATGAAGAAAGAGAAAATACCAGTGTAGAGTAGGGTAACTGGGAGGGGGAGAAGTGTGTGTGTGGGAACCAAAGGACAGTGGGTGTGTGTGAGGAGTATCAACCAAAATAAAATATGTTCAAAAATACCACATAGAAACCCATTGCTTTATGTTAATTATAATAAGAAATCACAGAGGAATCTACGTAAGGGGAAAGTGCTCCTCTGTCCACACAACAGGAAACTGGAGACTGTTAGGGCAAGAACACTTTTGAAATCGATCTATAGATTCAATACACCAATCACCAAGCCACAGGATTTCTTTTGAAGAGAGGCACGAGTGGATCATGACATGTACAGTGATAAGCTCTGTAAATGACTAAAAGGGGAATTCAGATATTGGATTCCAAACCTTACCCCAGCCCTCCCGTTCTCAGGAATGTGTGGCACTGGGGTGGCTATACAAGCAGAGAACTGTGAGTGGAATCAAGGGCATTAGAGATGCGTGGTATTTGCCAAAGAAGTTTAAGATGTGTTTTCCTCCCAAGGACAGCAGCAAGAGCAGGAACAAGCCACACGATGAGAGCATGAACTTACAACTCATGTATCTGAACACACCGAAACTTCTGTTAGTGGCTTTTCTTATGACAAAGCACATTTCAAAAGAAACCTAAAGAAGTAGGGGATTATTTATTCTTCTATTTTTTACTGAAAATAGATTTTTCCATATAATCCATTCTGGTTATGGTTTCCCTTCCCCACCTCCCCCCAGTTCCTCCTCATCTCCCTTCCCATCTAAATCCACACCCTTCCTTCCTCCCTCCCTCCCTCCCTTCCTTTCTTCCTTTCTTCCCCTCTCTTTGTCACTGTCTCTTTCTCTTTCTTTCTTTCAATAGAAAACAGACAGGCATCTAAAAATAATTTTAAAAAAGATAAAATAAAAACTAGCCAACTGGGACACAACAATAGAAATAAACAAACAGACAAACAAACAAACAGAAAGAAAGAGCCAAAGGAAAAGCATAAGAAGGACTTGTAGATGAGAGACACGTATGTTCACACACGGAAATCCCATACAAACACAAAATCAGCAACCATAGTGTATACACAAAAGACCTGTAAAATTAAAAAAAAAAAAAGCCAAAGAAGCTCCAAAAGTGCTGCTGAGCTTGTTTTGTGTTCGTCATCTGTGGCTGGGCATGGGGCCAGAGAGGCCCCAGGAGAGGGATTATTTTGGCTAATGCTTGAGGGTATAGCCTTTCATGACATCATGGTGGGAAAGGAGGGCCAAGGGAACAAGAGGCGGGTGGTCATGTTGCATTTGCAGCCATGAAGAGAAGAGAGAGACTGAGGAAGAGCAATGGCACAGCCTGGGGCAGGGGGCATGAGCAAGAGCATGTGTACACATGGGCTGGTTCTTACACATGAGCTGGTGCCCACACATGTGCCAGTGCTCACGCATGTGCCAGTGCCCACACGTGCCAGTGCCCACACATGTGCTGGTTCCTATACATGTGCTGGTGCTCAGCTTACTCTCCCCTTTTTATTCAGTTCAGGACTCCATCCACGGAATGGAACCACCCGTACTTGGGGTAGATGGTCCTACTTTAATGAACCAAATGTAGAAAAGCCCAAGTAGTATAGTGTGTGACTCCGTTGATAAGGAACAGGCAAGTGCAGAGAGACAGGAAGATTCGTAGCTACCAGGAAGGAGAAGGAGGACAAATGGGAAGTGGATGTGGGAGTCCTTAATGGGTGATGGGTGATGCAGATGTTCTCCAATAGTGGTACCCAGATAGTGGTAATGGTTGCACAGCTCTGAGCACACTAAGATCCATTGGTTGGGGTGCTTTGGCAAGGTGACTTTTATGAATATATTGATTCTATTTCAATGAAGCTGATAGTCAGTCACAACAACAGCCAAAACAACATTGTTGACAATAGAAATCATTCAGGACCACAGTACTTGGGATTCCTATCCATGTTGACCTTGCCGGAAACCCAGAAATTATTACCCCACTTCTCTGGTATTTCTGTGCATGCTAGGAAATAGCATTTGAGTAGGAATTTGAATAGTCATTATGGTAATCACACAGTCCCATTCTACAGTTTCATGTTACAGTCTATTTTCTCGTTACAGTCCATTTTCTTGTGAGCCGAGGTGGGATGTTTTATTCCACTAAGCACTTAGTGTTCATCTCACCAATTGACTCCTAGATTTATAATTGGCTCCATTTTTTCCCAGAAACCAAATCAAAATCCAGGAAGTAAACAAAAATTCCCAAACTCATAAAATAACTCATAAAAGAACTAAGACTAGTCCAACTTCACAGACCACTTTCAATTCTTATTCTGTGCTGAACCCATTCAAAACTAAAACCCACCTCCCTGTAATTGCTGATTCCTCCTCTTTCATAACCCTGCTACCTGTGAGTTTCCCACTTCTCTTATTTGAAGATGTTTTCATGACCCCTCTAGCCTTTTCTTCTACACACTAACCTTCTCAGTCCCCTTTACTTCTTCCTTAGGTTTTTAAGTTATTGTCTTGAACCCATCCTGCTCTAAAGCAAAGGGTCTGGAGGCAAAAATATATGAAGGCATTTCTCCAACCATGCTGCTTCAGGCACCTTAAAAATGCATGCTTACCTCCTTCAACCAGGCTTTAAAGTCAGGCAATTTTGGCAAATTGTGTCTGTGAAAAAACTGGAATTCAGATAGGTTAAGGTTTTGCCCAAGATAATCTAGTCATAAAACAGCAGATCCAGGAATGAAATTGGGATCTTCTTGCATTTACTACTGACTTGAATTCATTTGCCTATTAAGAATCCTAGACCTTCAACATCAGAAACAAATAAGAATTGACTCCAGTCTCCAAAAGAGTCCTACTGAAGAACTAGCATTCTCTAAGCAACTAGGGGTTGTAGATCTTAGGGTGGATGCTAGTTTGCAAACAGGTGTATTTGTTGTAATCAGAAGTCCCTAAAATTTAGAAGGGCTCTTTGTTTGCTGGGTGAGCTATTTACTCTTGAAAGGAAAAAACAAATCGTTTGCTCAGCATGGTTTGATGTCACTGTTTTTCTTACCATAGTGAGGTAGTGTCCCAGAGAGAACATTCCTTAGCTTCTCATTCCTTTCTCCCAGGACTCCCTCTTCACAGGGTGCCTTTTAACTGCAGCAATGCCAAAAAAAAGCAGTTATTTTGATCAAAGCATAAAATGCATCTTTTATTCTGAGAAATATTTTCCCCTAAAATGTCTGGAGTCCTGGGCAGCACTCCTTGCTGGAGAAGCCCAGTCTTTGGCTACAGACGCTGGTTACACCCAGAGGTGGCTAGAAGCTCTCTTTATAGGTCAGGGCTTTGACCAGTGAAGGCATAAAGCTTGCTTTTAGTGAGGCAGTTGTTAAGGGAGTCTGCACAAGATCAAACTATGGCAAGTAGTCAACAGAAGGCAGCTTTTCCCAAGACTTCCCAGGAAGTGGTTCTTGCTCCCCAGCAGAGGCGACAGAGGTCACAGGAAGAGCTTTCAAGGGTGACATGGCTGCATTTTAGTTCACAGTTACTTTCAACATGAAGAGTGAGGAATGGAGGGTGGAGCAAGGGTCTGAGCAGCACCATCTGCTGCAGGTAGAGGTCCAGAAAGGAGAGAAAAATGAAGTCCTCTGGTGGAGTTCTTTGAGGGGCCAGAAGGCAGGTAGTGAGCACCCAAAACATCCTTTTTCCATATAGACTGAGCATCCCAAATGGCTGCCAGTGCAGCAAAGGGGTTCCACCTGTGCAGTAGTCAGGGTTTTCCAGATCTCCATAGCAGGGATTCTCAGCCAGTGATTTAAAAACATCAGGAACGAAATTTGAGATTTGGAACATTTTTGTTCAAATATTATGGATAAGGCATACTCAGTCCATAGAATTAGCCCTGGTGGTAAATGATTCTAAACAATCTCTGAGTGTGTGTGTGTGTGTGTGTGTGTGTGTGTGTGTGTGTGTGTGTGTGTTTGATATGAAAAGTTCAAATATTAAGCTTTAAACTCAGATCTATGCCACTCCACGTATTTGGCATTATGTCTCATAGTTTCACCACTTCACGAAAGAAAAACTCTTTCCTGATTCAATTAGGCATTTTGGCATGTATGAACATTAAAAAAGTAGTGTATGTTTTGTGATAAATTATATTTTCTATTTCTCCAAACCACTCCTTATTCCTTTTCTAAAACTCCTATTGGAAGCCACTATTGGGAGGTGAAATCTCATGATTGGCACCTTCACTCTTCATTCAAGCATTTACTTAGCAAATGAAGCAAATTCATAGGGCCTGGAGGTGCAGCAGTGAAAATGTAAATGAAGTCCTTGGCCCCACAGATGTGCGCCACTGAGAAGAGGTCATCGCCAGACTAAGACTTCTATAGCACACTGGGACTTAGCCCTGGGGAACTGGGAGAAGCTGAGGGCAGAGGCAACTGTGTAGTCGCATGGGTCATGTGGTTAGGGATCCCTTCTTTGAGGCAGTGACATTTCAGCAGATCTGAATGACACACAAGGACATATTCCAGGCAGAAGCTCCTGTCAGCTTCTCTTCAGTAGTGGTTTTGTGGAGGGAGATTATAGTGGAAATGCCACTGTTTGCTTAAGAACTGAGCAGTATTTGGGGGAATTGTTGCTCAGTAGATGATGCCTGTGATCTAGATGTAGCATCATGGTTGCAAGATAACTGCCTGCTATAGAGAGGTACTGCCCAGCAGTCACTCACTGAATTAGTTTAATCTGAATGAAAACTCCTTTCAAGTTGTACATTTCCATAGAATCATGAGATGATTCTGTGTTTGCTTTTCTATAAGGAACCATCATATATAAGTTTATGGCTCTGGGGCCTCTAGGATTTTTTTCTCAAGGACTCCTGCTTGTCTGGGAGGCATAGGAGCAACCATGGCAGCAAGTTGAACAAGCCAGTCTGACGTGGTTCAATAAAACTTTATTTATATACAGGCTGTAGGTGCCTGGTCCTGGTTTATGGATCCTTCTCTGGAGGGGTTCCTCTGGGGCTGTCTGAAATCTGGATGGATGTCTGTTTTCTCATGAAAAAACAACTGCTAGGCTTTCTTTCTTGTTTTTGGCCCCCCCTCTTTGCCTTCATATCTCCACCACCACTATCAGCTGTCTGTCTGCTCCATGCTCAGACTTCCAAACCTAGGTACTCACTTGTGCGCTACATTGGCCAATCTATAGGCAACTATACTGAGGTCTATTCTAAACTACAAGTCATGAGGTTCTAAGTTAGGAGAAAATGAGTTAAGCGGCAAAGAGAAGATATGAGCCAGCCCTAAGGAAAATTGTTTATGCTGCAGAATGTGAACCACTTGAAGGTTCTGAAGGCTCTTGGGTTTCTGGTTCTTTTTCCTAGGGTGTTAGTTATATTCTGGAGAGCTCAGGATTCTGGGTAAGAATAAAAAGATGAAATTGCAGGACATAATCTCTGTTGTCAGTCAACTGAATCCCTCTGGTTTTGAGAAAAACGTGAAGACTCTGCTTTTTCTACAGAATTTAAGGAGAACAGAAATGTACAATAGAGTTACTCCTATCGAAGTGCTGCCTGTCCAGTGTATGGACTACTCCTCGCAGTTTCAGCTGAGTGAATGGGAATGATTGAAAATTGGTCACTTGAAAATGACTGCAGGGATAGCAAAACTTTCATCCAGCCTTTTGGGTTACCCAGGGGAGTAATCAGGCGATCACATGGCACAAGTGAGACAGGAACCTTCACAAGCTACTTGGCTAAACATGATGGGAGGGCTGCTGACAAAGCATCAGGTCTGACTTTGGGTAAGGAGTCCTAGTCTCATCACCTTCAGTGTGATGACAGTAAGAGCTGACACCTTGTGTTTATGAAGACTTAAAGAAGGACAAACTGCCTGGCAGTGTGCCTGGTACAGTGTAGGTATTCAGTGGCATTCTCTTTTATGGAAAAAAAAGATAAGTCATGTTAAATTACAAGAAATTTTATTTAAACTATTGAAAACTGAGGAAACATTTGAAAACTTGCATGACATAATTAAAATAAATGAGGTTTTCTAATTTGAGTTCTCTAGAAATTCCTGATACTTACTGTCCTCTGACACTAAACACACTCCTTCCAATAAAGAGTCTTCTCCAGGTTCTGCATATTAAAGCTGGTCCACACTGACTTCACAGGATGGAATCTTATCAGGATATTGTACAGCTCCCTTATTCTGTTTTCACATAATCAGAACTTACTATATAATAAGGTTATGGAACTTTATGCTGAAACAAAGTATATGTTGAGGATGTTCTGTAAATTCAAAGGTCAGCTTCTTCAATACCACATTGCCAAGACACAAATCGGATCAGGGGATCAGGGGATCAGGGGTATCTCCCAGCCCCTTACAGTTCACCCACAACTTTCTATTGCCATCAGATAGTGATTCATTCTGCCTCATAAAGCCCATCTCCCATGCTTGTCAGCAGACTCTAGAAATGGTTTCAATAGCACACTTTCCTCCAACACAGCAGGGAGGCATAGAACCCCTGACTGCTTTTCTTCCTGCCACACCTCGGCAGCTGATTGTGACATCACAGGCTCATTGCCTTCTTATCCTAACAACTAATTGTAGTATGAGCTCTGGGCCTCAGAGATGGCACCTTTATCTTAATTTACCATTTCTTTCTAAAATTAAGGATGAGTCTGTTTGGGCTTATGGTTTGAGGGTACAGTCCATTATGGCAGAGAAGGCATGGTGATAGAAGTGTGAGCTGGTTGATTCCTACCATACCCATCGTCAGGACACAGAGATGTATACTGGTATAAAATGCTGATTGGCCAGTAGCCAGGCAAGAAGTATGGGTGGAGTGAGCAGACAAGGAGAATTCTGGGAAGAGGAAGAAGAGAGTCAGGAGTTGTCAGTCAGACACAGAGGAAGTAAGATAAGAAGGCAGAACTGAGAAAAGGTATAGAAATGTTGAGATAAAAGGGTAGATTGTTGAGTCTACTTTTAAATAACCACTAATCTCAAATATTTTACATTTTTATGGATTTTTATATTGATACAAACTTAATGCTATTTTGTTATACTGTATATATGTTTCTAGTCTTGCTTAAGGTATTGTACCTATGCAGCTCATTTAAAAAGGTTATATAAAGTTTTAGTCTTTAAAAGTTATTTAGGATATTAAAAAATATAGGTTAGTAGTTAGTTATCTATAACAATTAAACTTATAATCGTGTTAGGTATGTTTTCAAGGTCATACAGAGATATATTTTAGATAGATGAGTGATCGTCAAACACTTCAAAGACCTATAGAATACGGCATTTAAAATGTTTTAATAACATAAAGTTTTTCTTGACATTGAAACATGTCTTCCATTTAAGGAATTGCTCAGCATCCTTAGTCATCAGGGAAATGCAAATCAAAACAACTCTGAGATACCATCTTACACCTGGCAGAATGGCTAAGATCAAAAACACTGAAGACAGCTTATGCTGGAGAAGATGTAGAGCAAGGGGAACACTCCTACACTGTTGGTGGGAATGCAAACTTGTATAGCCACTCTGGAAATCAGTATGGTGGTTTCTCAGAAAGTTGGGAATAAGTCTTCCTCAAGACCCAGTTATACCACTTTTGGACATATACCCAAGGAATGCTCAATCTTACCACAAGGACACATGCTCAGCTATGTTCATATCAGCATTATTCATAATAGCAAGAGCCTGAAAACAACCTAGATGCCCCTCAACTGAAGAATGGATAAAGAAAATGTGGCACATATACACAATGGAGTATTACTCAGTGGTAAAAAAAAAAATACATCATGAAATTTGCAGGCAAATGGATGGATCTAGAAAATATCATCTTGAGTGAGGTAACCCAGACTCAGAAGGACAAACATAGTGTGTACTCACTCATAAGTGGATACTAAATGGGAGGGATGGGATGGCCAGACTGCAACCCACAACTCCAGAGAGGCTAGCTAATAGGAAAAGACTCTAGGAGGGACACATGGATGAACCTGTGAAGGAGAAGTAGATGAGATCTACATGAGTGGACTGGGTGTCAGGGGGTGGCAGAGGGCGAGGAGTGGGGGATGAGAACATAGGGAAATGGGAGGGTCAAGCTGGAACAGGGACAGAGTGGGAGGGCAGGGAGGAAGATACCATGATAGATGAGGACATCATAGGAATAGGAAGAGGCAGGGTGCTGGGGAAACTCTCAGAAATCCCCAAGGTTGACTCCACCTTTGTCTGCTGGCAGTGGTCCAGAGGGTGCCTGGATCAGTCTACTCTGGTGACCAGCCTAGCAAATAACCTAGCTGTCATCATAGAGCCTTTGTCCAGTGACAGATTGAGGCAGATACAGAGATGTACAGCCAAGCACCAGGCTGAGTTCCGGGAATCCAATTGATGAGAGAGAGGAGAGACACTGTAGGGGAGGGACATTAAGATCATGATGGGAGGATGTGCAGAGATCATGGACCACACTAGTGGAAACCCATGAACTGTGGACTGGTAGCTGTGGAGCCCCCATAGGACTGAATTAGGCCCTCTAGATATGGAAGACAGTTTTTTGGCTCGAACTGTTTGGGGGGCATCCAGGTAGGGAGATTGGAATCTGTCCTTGGTGCATTGGCAGGCTTCTGGGAATCCAGTGCCTGTGGTGTGACACCTTGCATAGCTTTGGTGCAGTGGGAAGGGGCTCAGACCTGCCTAGGCTCAGTGAGCTGGGCTCTGCTGACTCCACATGGGAGACCTTGATTTGGGCGATGTTGAGATGCGGGGATGCAGGGTGGCTTGGGAAAGAGGGCTGGGGGGTGGGAGCAGGGAGCAGGGGGGTCTGTGGATAGCATGAGGAGTGAGTAGAAAATTTCTTAATAAAGAAAAATAAAATAAAATATAAAAAATAAAAACAAACAAACAAAAAAGGAAACATGTCTTCTCCTGGAAGCATCAATCTACTTCAGAAAAGAATGATGGGCATCAAGGAACCTCCATATGGAGTTTGCTTTCTTTGTGGCAAAAGTTAGCCACTGGGCAAGAAACAACCTTTGCCTGGACTACTGACAGTATGTGGCAGGGTCCTGTGCTGTTGTTTCCTTTGGGGGAGGGGGTAAGTAGGCAGAGTCAAACCACACAGAGTCTGAAAGAATGTTGAAACAAGCTCAGTTGTTTGCCTCAGGAAGAGGCAAGCCTTATATACCCTTTACCCACCCTGGAGGAAGGTCTGATTAATATGCATCTGTTAGTGTGACATGTTAGGCTGCCTCTCATTGGTCCAGGTCATCTCCAGATCATGCTTCAGCTGCTGTTGCTAGGGCCCTTAGGCAGACCCAGGTTGGCTCTCAGAAAGTATCTTTTTTACTGGTTTGGGCCAGCTGGCCCTCAAGTATGTTAGGGATGAGTCATCCCACAACAATTTGCTGTCCAAATTGGATAAGCAGGGCACAAAAGAAAGCCACTACCAAACTTTGTCACGACAAGGTAGAGCAGTCCTTCAAAATTCCTGCTTCACAGAAAAGTTTGTCAGATATTCTAGTTCTATAGGTCAAAGATGGATGCCTCAATGTTATGAAGGAACCTTGGGTGATTGTCCATGCAGCCAGCTGTTTCTGTCATTTCTATAGTTTTGAAAGTTGTTTGTACTTCCTGCTTGCAGCTGCTCAGATACAAGTAAACACATAGAGGCTTATATTATTTTTAAACTATGGTCATGGCAGGATTCTTGCTAGATGGCTCTTATATCTTAAATTTACACATAATTCTTATCTATGTTTAGCCACATGGCTTGGTACCTTTTCTCAGTTCTGCCTGTTATCTTGCTTCCTCTGTGTCTGGCTGATGACTCCTGACTCTCCTCTTCCCAGAATTATTCTTGTCTGCTCACTCTTCCTATACTTCTTGCCTTGCTACTGGCCAATAAACATTTCATATCAACCAATCAGGGCAACATGAATTCACAGCATACAAAATGGCATTCCATAGCACTTCCCCTTTTCTGTCTTATCAAAAAGGAATGTTTTTAACTTTAACTTAGTAAAAATCCATATAACAAAACAGTTACCAATCCAGACTTACAGTTACAATATCTCGTATTTAGCAAAACTAAAGAAAATATTCTATCTCTCCTATATTTGTGAGTCTAAAATTTCATATCTAATTTATCTTTTATCATAACCAAGGAAAATTATAACTATCAAGTCTTCAGCTACATCAACGACCTCAGAAGAATATAATACTACCTAAGTAAACAGGAAATGCATTGTAAGCAACTACCAAAACTCTGGAAATGACAGAGACAGCTGCCTGTCTGGACAGTCATCCAATGTTCCTCTGCAATGTTGGGGCATCCATTTTTAGCCCATAAGCCTAGAGTCTGTCAGTTGTTTCTCTCTGTGTCCTATAGAATGTCTGGCAGTCTCCTCTGTGAAGCAGGAACCTGAAGAACCATCTAGTCTTGTAAAGTTCAGTGGTCACCTTCCTATGGCTCCTGCATGTCCAGTTTATACAACATACTGCCAATCAGTTGATGCAAGGGCATTTTTTTTTGCCCAATGGCTAACTTTGGCCACATAGAAAGCAAACTCCATAGTGAGTTTTTTAATGCCCATTATCTTCTCTGAAGTAGATTGGTGCTGCCAGGAGGAGACATGTCTCAATGTCCAGAAAGTCAAAGTTCTTAAAAAATTTTAAATGCATATTCTGTAGGTCTTTGCAGTGTTTGAAGATTACCTACACAATTGAAATATATCTATGTATACTTAGAAAACTTAACTGACTATAAGTTTGATTATCATGGATGACTAGTGATTAATCTGTATTTCTCAACTATACACTACAATTTCAAATGAGTTGCACAACCAAAATACTTTAAACAAAAGTATAAATATGCATACAGTATAACAAAATTAACTTTAAATTTGTATCAATAAGCTAAAATCCATAGCAACATAAAACATTTTAATCAAGTTGTTGCCCTTTAAAAGTAGACTCAATAATCTATCCTTTTATTGTATCATATCTATATCCTATATTTCCATATAATATCCCCCTTTCTTCTTTTAGAAACAGGTTGATTATGACCAATAACAATTTGTAGCCAACAACTTAAATAAAGACAAACATCTATAATCCATTTTTGGGGGGAATGTGATTGTAGTGTTCTAGGCTATTTCCTGCTGACAGAGTGCACAGGTAGTCTTTCAGGGATCCTGAGAAAATTAGAGATAATGGTTAAGTCCTGGGAAGACCGTCTATAACCTTTGTTGATAGGTACCATCTGTTAAGGCTCAGGAAGTCTGGCTTGATCAAATCTGATCCATCTTAACCTGGAACAATTCCATAGCCTCTTGCTTCCTGCAGAAACAAAAACAGAGCCTCTTTTCCAAAGCAACATAACCTTAGGTCCAAATTTTGAAGTCAAAGTACCTTTAAAATATATGTATTGGTTTAACTGAACAGTCTTTACAAGCAAATGTCTCTGTGTAGTT